GTAGGTAAAACCTCAAGGGTAGGTCGTGTTGTTTTTACAAAATATTAATAAAAAGGTTTAATATCTTAAATATTTTTAAAGTATTTAATGGTTTATTCTTGAATTTAAATAATTTAATAAAACTATTTATTTTTAATTTATTGTCACGTAAATTTTGTTTAATTTGTGTGCGCTTATCTGTACACCGAACTTTATCTTTTATTAGTGTCATTTTATTTTATTTTTTATTTGAAAAACTATCCTTATTTTTTATAGTTTGTTATGTACAAGGAGAATTAATATATATAAGAATTATACATAAAAGTAAAGAGTACACATAATCGTTCAAGTGTAAAAACAATGCATATTTTATAATAGATAAATATATTAAGTATAATGGGTACTGACCTTAAAGAGATGAGTAAATAATTACCTCTACAATAACAGACAATTCCTCAAGGTTGCTACCATCAAATAATACACTACTAATTGTAGTTATGTTTAAAGTTGTAACATTATAGACCTAAAAAATGTAATAATATTAGAAAATTAGTTCGTAAGACTGTTTTTAAATGTATAAAAGTAGGACATTTTTTGTTTAAAAAAATTATATTTTTATGAAATAAAAACTTACTTTTTTCATTGAAAATTCTATCATTTTTAGAGAGTTAAAATTGTCATTAATAGCTTATTAATTAACATGTTCTGGAGAAGCATATGAATATTTATGCTATTTAAATGTAATTGATTTTGTTTTCCCTTATTCGAGTAAACAGAAGGATCGATGCAGTACACATCCACGATAACTGAGTGCTGAGAAATTGTCATTAAGTTAAACAATGATTCTACTTTAATCATTATTTAACTGTTACCATATAAAGAAGTGTGTGTAATTAATAAAATGACAGCAAGTTAAGTGTTAAGTTGGGAGAATTAAGAATCAAATAGCAGTGTGATGCATGTGGCAGTGCCACCAATGCGAATATTCTGAGGTTGCTTTTCTGTTACCATATATATGACTCCGAAGCACTTGACGGTTGGGACTTTTGGGAGCCTCCTTTTAATGAATGCATCACAAGGCATTGAATGCAAGAAAAAATTGGATAGCTGTTAATTTTCTTTTCTTCTTATTATTTTATATGCGAGATCAACCTAAGAAAAGGGGATCAGCTTTAAGGCCAATATATAATGATAAACAAAAAGAGATGCAATAACATTATATGAATTCAAACTATGATTTCATTATTTCACTTCTTGTAATGAAACAAAATAAATTCGTTTAATTATTTAAAAAGTAGATGAAATTAAAATTATTTTTATCTCATTTCACATCATAAATTAGGAGGAAAAAAGTATAAAAATAAAAGCATGATGTTTATAAAATTCTTCCGCTCTTAAAATTTCCAACCATGTACTTTAAATTCTTTTACTAAACAACGGTTCCATTTTTACTAAAATGTATGTGTTATACTATTTTTTTGGTTTCATTGATTTTACAATAAAGATACCATCATGTGAGCATATAGCATTTAATCACTAAAACAGCTCTTTATAGTTTTTTTTATTGGATTATCTCTAAGTTATTTACTATATTATTAACTATATAGCCGTATTTAAGGGTTGATATTTTTATATTGGGGATCCCTGTGAAGTTACTTCATTCGAGATTAGATTTTTCTTTTTTCTCATGGAAATGGGGATAGAACAATAAAATCTTTTTATGACAAATTTGAAGATGAAACAGGGATCATGCTCCCTTTTCTTAGGGGTTTTTGTCCCCTAATGTTAAATATATATTTATATAATTTAATGAATTTTTACATAGTATATTATATTTGAAATAAAACTTTATAATTACACTTTCATTGATTTATTTTCATTGACTTGTTTCTTTTATAATTAATATTTTTATTTACTATTTTTATGTAGGATTTAAGTTATAATGTAACTAAATTGTACATAAGTATTGAGTTCCTGGAAAGGGAGGTAACAAATATAGAAAAGGGACATAAATACTTCGAAATGGGGACTAAGGATGAAAATAGGAAAGAAGTTAAGACACGAGGATGAAAAATGAACCAGAAAAATGAAAACTCTTCATTTTTGAGATAGTTTTACCACAATCTAAATTAAATTCATGTTAAACTATTTTAATAAGATATTGTTCTTCGAATTTTCACATGTTTTTATTGTGACGAGGTATGTTCTATAAGACTGTAAATACTCTTTAAATGAATTTTTTTTTCTAAATTATATTAGGATTTAGGGTTTTATACATCGGGAAAGAAAAAACTATCTCAAAAATGCTTCATTTGGAAGAATTAGTGATTTCAAATACAAGCTTAAGGTGGCGGCGAAAGATTACGAAATCCTATAAGTGGTCCCTTATGGCATTGATACATGCTAAAAAATGTTTAATTATACTTTTTAGTTTTTATATTTTAATATATGTAATATTTTCATTTTTTATTTTAATTATTTAACTTAACTTCTTTATATTCAAATCTTATTCAATAATTTAAAATATAATAGAAACGTAATATGAGAAGTTACTAACTTTGGAGATATAGGATGCAAGCTTGTACTTAATGCATGCAGGGTCCAACAAATGAATATGCCGTCAAACTTAAAAAACCAAAATTTTGGATTTTGGATAAGTTTATAAACATTTTAATTGGTTTTGGCTCATTAGTGAGTGCAAGAACTTAAAATTAAAAGGTTATCTTATACTATTTATAACATTAATTGACATTTACAAAAATTAATGGCTCTTTTATTATTGATTAGTAACCACATTTTTATAACGAAAAACAACTGCCCAATATTACTATTTATTTAAGTGTACATTTCACAATATTACTATTTATTTAATAATTTTTATAAAATTATTTATCTTATAAATTTAACCGTAAAATATTATAGTATATGCTGAAAAGTATTTATTCTATAAATTAATAAAAATAAACTTATTAAAATAGTTTTTTTATTTTTTTTAACATCCAAAGGTTAATGGAGCAATTTTGATTGAATAAATATTGTAATTTAAACTTGTGTAATAGTAGTTTATGAGGAACTGCGACACAAGCAAGTTCCTTCTCAAGTAATGGTGTGAGAGTGACATTCACATTATACGTCTCGTGTCGCCTTGGTCCAAGTTTATCTTAATATCGATAAATGACAATAAAACAAAACAAAAACTCTTTTGGCTCTTTCTGTAGCGAAGGACCCTAGGGCTATATTTGAAAGAGCAGTAATTTTTTTTAATTTTAAAATACTTATTTACATTCTATTTGTATATAAAATATTTACTTATACTATAATTAATGTTTTAAGTTAAATTTTACCATCATTTAATTATTAAGTTAAATTATACATGATTTTGTTTCAGGACCATAAAAACCTTTAAAAGGTTTATAAGACAAATTCTCCCTACAAATACTAATTGAAGTTATTATATTTTTTTCCACAAAATTTCAATACATCTCAACGTGATTTTTAATTAACAAAATTATACTCTCAGTTACTTGTAAGAGAGTAATATTTTTTTAAGAGTGATCGTAATTTGTAAGAGAGAGGCAAAAGAAGACTAGCCCTTGAAATGCAAAGTTTAAGATTTTTTTAACAGATTTAATTATTTTTATTATATTTTAAATTATCTTAAATTTTAGTTATTTTTTTTTAGATAATGTAATTAATTAAATTTTTAAAATTAAACTAATTGATTCCTTTCATTAATTTTGTCTAATTAAAATTTTAACATCATTATTATTTGTCCAGAGTGTTTATGATAGTTCTATTATATAAATAATTTTAAATGTTTAGAAATAATAATTTTAGCAAAAATGTAACAAAATTTTATAAAACACGAGATTAACATTTCAAAGAAAAAGTAAAATTATTTTTTTATATTGGTTATAATTTAATTTTTTGAACAATCAAAATAAAATTTGAATATAAAATCAAATTTTGTGCAGATTAACAAAATTATAAAGGGGTCGGTCAAAATTATTATTATTTTAAATAAAAAACTTAATTTACTCTAAATAAATTAAAAATACCAAGATTAGTTATATTATAAATTAAAGGACTTAAAAATTAAGTCTTTGTAAAATATAGAATTAAGGATCAAATGATAAAATAATACTTTAGTTTATTGTACAAATTTTGCTTTCATTGCTCATTCAATTTATTCATAAATCAAATAATATATATATATATATATACATATATAATTTATTTTGTGTCTATTAATTCAAATTATTATAAATCAATTTATATATCTTTAACTATTGAAAGTCTAACAAGAAAAAAAAAGAAGTCGCACCTGACCGTCTCCAACAGACTTCCTTTTCCAATCTCTTTTGGCGAAGTTGCTAGACCATCCCTTTAATTACTTAACGAAGTTAATTGATAATTAAACTACTTGCTCACAACCTTTTAATTGATTACTAAGTTAATTAATCTTAATTTGGCGCATAATAATAATAATAATCATATTTCCTTTTTTTATTTTTCTGAAGACACAAACGTGGGTGATATTTTAATTGGGTGAAAAATTGGGGAATGGAAGAACCGGTCCTCTTCCAAACTGCACTGTTCATTTACCATAATACCCTTCACATGGACAAGCGTTTTCCTCGCAACCACGCGCTTGCGCGTACCTTCTCACCCACACGCCGGAACCGCCAGTTTGGCCTCCGTCCACGTCATCAACGTGGGCCCGGACCCCCTGTCAAACCCTAAATGCACGACACATTCACCCCAAATTCACTTCAAACTCAAATCCAAATCAAAACTCGACCTCCTTCATCGTCCGGCTCCTAGAAAGACACGTGGTAGTATCATGAAATCACCATCGTTAGTGCCAGATCTTACGGTCAGTTTTCGGGACAGCCGAGAAATCAACGACATCCGTTGGATCACAGATCAATAATAAATCAACGGCAGATAAAGCTTCCCGAAGCACCCACGGGCAGATCTCATCGCCTTTAAGAAGCGGCTCTAGCCCCCTCTCATTCCTCGCTCAGATTAGGGTAACCCAACTTCCAAACCCTAAACGCTACGTTTATTATTTTTCAGGTTCTCTCTTTTAATCGGTGTCTCCGCCGGCGGCGCGTGAGCCTTGTCAACGGCGCGTGAGGGCGTTGTTCGCGCGTGATTCGTAGTACCCCGCTAACTCTTGCTTTGTTCGACCCGCATTGGGAAATTCATGCCGGAGACACGCCGGAATCTTACCGGACGGCCGTGATTTCTCACATCGATGGCGTCCGGCGTCTTAGCTAACCGGAACGAACCTAATTGGCCACAGCATAGAGGCGGTGGAGCAGGATTCATGGGAAAAGTACCTTTCTCTAACCCTAACCCTAACCCTAACCCTAAATTAGCGAACAGCAAGAGGACCCAATCGGCGTCCGATGATGCTTCTTCTATCAACAGGCGATCGAACGACGTCGTCGTCAATTACTTCCAATACGTGACCTTCAACGTCGCGTCGTACACGAAAAAGGAGCTGAACGACCTCAAGAACCGCCTCGTGTCGGAGCTCGAACAGATTCGGAAGCTCCAGAATCGAATCGATTCCGGCGAGTTTCAACCGGGCCAGAGCTTCAACGGCCAGCCAAAGAAACCGTCGAGCAAGAAGATTGCCGGCAACAAGCGTCCTTTCCCGGTGAATTCGGCAAAGGATTTGAAACGGTCGCATTCTGAGATTGGGAATTTGATGAAGGGTTGCGTGCAGGTTTTGCAGAAGCTGATGAAACACAAACATGGGTGGATCTTCAATGTTCCTGTCGACGTTGTTGGAATGGGTCTTCACGATTATTACGATATAATTAAGCAACCCATGGATCTGGGTACGGTGAAGTCGAATCTCTCGAAGAACATGTACGCGACGCCCTCGGATTTTGCTTCCGATGTGCGATTAACGTTCAACAATGCACTCACCTATAACCCTAAGGGTCACGATGTGTACACCATGGCGGAGCAGCTTCTGGCGAGGTTTGAGGAACTTTATCGCCCGTTGCATGACAAATTCGAAGATTGGGTTAGACAGGATCGTGATTTTGACGAGGAATTGCAGGCTAGTTCATGGAACCATGTCGAGCCAGAGAGGGAGAGGGAAAGGGAGAGGGTGAAGAAGAAGGAGAACCCGATCCCTCCTGCGAAAGTGCAACAAGAGCCTCTGCAGCCTCCTGCGAGTTCTTCTAACCCTCCATTGCTGCAGTCGCCGGTGAGAACGCCGTCCCCGATGCGAGCCCCTCCAGTGAAGCCTGTGAAGCAACCCAAGCCAAAAGCCAAGGACCCTAACAAGAGGGAGATGAGTCTTGAGGAGAAACACAAGTTGGGTATTGGGTTGCAGAGTTTGCCACCGGAGAAAATGGAACAGGTGGTGCAGATCATAAGGAAGAGGAATGGGAATTTGAAGCAGGATGGGGATGAGATCGAGTTAGATATTGAGGCCGTTGACACAGAGACCCTTTGGGAACTTGATCGATTGGTGACTAATTGGAAGAAGATGGTTAGCAAGATTAAACGGCAGGCACTAATGGGCAACATTAACAACAATGTGGCGCCTAACAAAGGCAATGGGGTAAATTCTCTACCATTACCTTCACTGTTGTTTTAATGGAACATTGGTTGTTGTCAGAACTAATTGTGTAATGATTGAATTGACAGGAATTGCCAGCTAGCGAGAAGGTTGATGCAGCGCCGGTTGAGGTAAAAAAGCCAAAGAAAGTAGAAGCAGGGGATGAGGATGTTGACATTGGAGATGAGATGCCAATGAGTATGTTTCCCCCTGTGGAGATTGAGAAGGATAAAGATGTCGTTGGAGGCCATGCAAGTAGTAGTTCTAGTAGCTCTGGCAGTTCAAGCAGCGATTCCTCGTCATCAAGTGGTATGGACTTGCTCCTATTTTAGGTTTTGGTTTGTATCTGAAACTAATTTTCTGGCAAGTAAAAAAATACTAAATTTCGTTGACTGTTGCAGATTCTGATTCGGGGAGTTCCTCAGGAAGTGATTCTGAAGCAGACAATGGGCATTTGTAGCAGCCAGGCAGGGCTTTTTGTAACTAATGATCAAAACATGATCATGGGAGCAGGTTGGCGCATAAAGAAAATGTTTGCTTCATTGGCTTCCTTGAGGGTGCGGCTTGAATACATGGACGAGGTATGTCTGTCCATTTAACGTGTTTTTCTTCTGCTGCTATGAATTTTTTGGCAGATGGGTGTGATTAGCTAAATTGATTACCTTTCATTTCAGGGATTGTGGCCATTGTTCGTTCGGATTGGGGGCAGCGGTTTGGATTGTGGCGCTGAGCACCTGCTCGAGGGATTGTGGTGTGACATAGTTGTAAAAATGATTTCAGAAACCGAAGTATTCATCAAAACACTGTGTAGGCCAGAAAGTAGGCTGAAATGTGGTGAAAACGCTAGGATAGACGCGTTAAAGATTAGGAATAGAACGGAGAGAATTAGTGTTTTTTGTGTTTACCTTGTACACATTACAACAGTAAATAGATGGTCGTCCTCTTTCAAGAAGGCTCATTTTGTGGATCTGTGCATTGGAAATTTTGGGATCGCTAATTAGTTAAAAGGCCAGCCTTTTCATTTTGTATGTACCTAGTACATGCTTGAATACCGAGGGAACTATGTAAAAAACACAAACAATTTGCAAATGAAAATAGTTTCCTGATGAGCAGTCTCTAAATGCCGGAAGATAGTACTAATAAGCATAATTTATTAGTAATTTGACGTGGTTTTTATATTCTCATTGGTGTATCAGATGGCCAGAAATGTAAGAAATCAATAGTCTTACGGAGACCACTTTCTGAAAATTGTTACAAAGACATTATGGATAAACCAACCCTATATACGGAGAAGCTAATTGGTGGGGAAGACCAGTTGAAAATATCCTACAACTATCGTGTTCTGACGTACTCGCGGAATGCAACTGGTGAAGAAAAAGATTTGAAACGTCACAGGGAACAACTCTTCCGGGAGATATTTTGTCAAAAAATAGTGGTCATTTTCGAAGCAGAGAAAATTTAAGCAACATAAAAAGTTGATCTCTTACTAACTCAAAAAGTCATCATGTGTAACATAGGAAAGTTTACAAAACAAAACATCCACAAAGGCAAACAAAACTAAGAATTTCAAAGTTTTACCAAAATTCTTACAGCAAACACCTCAAACATGTTCGAGTAAGTCCTCATCCACTCCACCATTCCTCTCCCAGAGGCATACAAGTAAGCCCGTCTTAAAGGAATTTTGGGGCACCGATCTCGCGGGCAGAGTAAACTTCAAGCATCAGGGGATTGCTTTTGGGGACAGCACTGTATTTCCAACGTGTTTTGGTCTTTCAAGTGTGGCGAGTAATGTAATATCAAAAGCTCAGGTTGTAGCAGCAATTTTTAGATTCTGTAGTTTATTTTTCCAGCTTCTTCAAACGGATGAATTGTTCACCAAGTTGCGCCTCAAGAGCGGCTTGAGTATCAGGAGCCAAAGTTTTAACAAAATGCTTAGTGAGGTTAAGCTTAGACAGGATCTCCAAGGCTTTGACACAGAACTTGTGTACCTCTGCCCGCCTTGCTGGTTTGCTAGGCATATTTGTCACCAACTCTTTCATAAGACGAGAAAGTTTATCCAAATTATTTTTAAGAATCTTTTTCGATGCATTCTGTTCGTCACTATTCCCAGTTGCCAGTGACTTAAATATTTCCATTACCAAATCAAGTGCTTCTACTCGTCGATAGTCTGACTTGGCAGATCCACATCTCTCCAAAATAAAGCCAAATATAGAGTGTCCAATCCATGGTCGTCTTCGAAATATTTCTTTTAAAAATCCAGATTTGATTTGAGATTTCTTATGGTCAAAATATCCCACCAACACTTCACGGAAAATTTGAACAATCTTCTCTAGTTCAGACTGAGAGAAATTTCTTGAATCAATAATTTTCAAAATCCAGAAGGTTGAAGTTTGGGCAAGGGAAGAAACCATTTTCTGTCGGTTCCAGGCAGCTGATCGCTTTGATGGGTTAGAAGCAGACTTCTGTCTTTTATACGGCTTTGATGCTAATTTCAAATTTCTTTCCAACAGAGATTCAAGAGTGGATAACTGGATTCCATCACCCCTAGGATAATCCTTTGCTTTAAATATTTGCTTTTGTAATATTCCCCATACACGTTGTCCAAGCTGCTCACTAACTTCTGCCGTATGAGGGTTAACGAAAGCCTGAGCTAAATTTGAGTAAACCATAAGAACCTGAGGCTTACCTGTATAATAGCAAAACACCATGAGCGATTTATGTATACATGATGTAGAAAGATCGAGTTAAAAACACGATAGAAAGTTATGAAGCTAACACATTGTACAAGAAAATTGCAAGTATGGCAATAAAACAGGAGCGATCCATATGCTTCGTTCTTTTGGTTTCCAATTGGCACAAAATCACTATTGCCTTATGTACCACTACACTTTCCATTTACAGCAATTTTAAATTTCTTAAACACATTTTTATCATAATGTAAAATTATTACCTTTTTATATTTTTAACCTCTGCTATTTGCAAACACAATTGAAGAATAGCAGCATAAGAACATTAAGCAAACTTGATAACTGATTGTTGATATAAGCAAATTAGAAATGTATACTTGCCTGGATTTTCATGAAGGAAAATTTCCAACAATGAAAGGATACGAAGTTTGAAAAGCACAAGCTGGGAATGGGCAGTTTCACCTCCAGCCTGATTTTTCTTCTCTTTAAAAATCTGGGCAAGGTATGTATCAATCCTGAACATTGCATCATCGTCCATCCCACTATCAGAATCATCAGAAGCTTCAGAATGACCATGATCAGCTTCTTCCACCTCAACTACGGACTCAGAGTCATCTGTCTGCCCATCACTCTCACCTGTCTCACCTGTCTCAGCTTGATCAATTTCTTCATCTTCAATATTGATGAAGTCGTCGTCGTCATCATCATCTGCATCTGGATGTCTAGCCGGTTTTAAACTTTTCTTAATGACCCGCAACATTTGCATCAGTCCATCATCAGTGATGTCATCACAAAAATATTTAAACATCTGCATATAGAGATATGTATTACACAAATAGAAAGACAGTACATAAGGCATGAGGTCCAGCTAGAATTATGAGTTCAGTCTGAGACAATTCAGTTTTCTTAAACAACATTATCTTTCAACAAGGTACTTCAGCATTATTATATATAGCTCAATCAATTATCAATCAGTCTCAAACAAATCTATCTCATATCACATTGCATCCATTATATTGGATAGCATATCCATACCATTCATTCAATCTAGGTTTCCACATGACAAGTTAATACCGTGCAGGCATAGCAATTAGAAGTGGAAATAAAACTGCCGGTACAAGGTTTTCATTAGAATCAAAAGAGGGTCCACAAATAGGATTAACAAGGTGAACAAATAATATCAAATACCCACAAACCAAGTTTATGAAAAATTCAACAAATGATTTAAACAGACAACTCTGGTTTGGCTACTTGTGGAAGACAACACCACTCAACTCTTCATGTGAATATGCACTTTATACATGTCGATGAAAGGGGTATGATAGAAACAACCCAAGAAACAGCAAGAAAACTGTCTGGTATTAAGGAAATCAGAAAAAAACAAATGCAGTAACAACAATGGTAAAAATGGAGCACTAAGCAACTCCTATGCTCCAAGTCCTAATTCAGAAAAATCCCCTCTGCTCTTTTCTACTAGCCAACAGTTATACCCTTTTCTCATAACAGAATGTTTACTAATCATTCTCTCGCCCCACCCCTCAGCATGACACGTACATACACGTCTTCACAGTTAGTTAGGATTGGACCCACCTAGTTCACACTCCTCTCCCAACTTACCGTTTCCCAAGTTGCCCCTGAATTTCCTTCTTTTATACACTTTTATCCCATCTGGAATTCAATCCCTAACAGGGTAGAATCTAGACCGTGATGCAGGCTCACTAAAGCCTGGGTCTGAAATTTCCTTACAATTACAGCTCTCTAGTTAGGAAGGTATTTAACCAATCAGAAATACTGATATTTTTCTAAGTGGGAGAATTCATTATATCTTCATTATGAATAAGGCCCAAAAGGAAAAATAGGATTCATTTCAATGAAATATAGCTGATTATATTAAGACTGACTGTAATTAGAAGGAACTTTCTTGGGTATCTAAATGGGAGCAAAAATTTGGTTATTTATGTTCCATGGTTATTTATTTTAAATTTTGTATTGAATATTGGAAAAATCTAAGACTTATCCTATTAAAACAAAATCAATAATTACTGCCCAAAAAAGAAACGTGATATTCAGAGTTTTTCCCATATAGTAGTTGAAGGTTCATGTATCAGCTCAGCACAAAGTTAAGATGCAACATATTGGCATACAAAGGGTTAACAAAATGTGGTACTCTAATCTACTAGATGTACAATTATGAAGCTGCAAAAGATAAACATCACATTCTTCTTTACAACCTGTTCAATAGAAGATCGCATAGGTGCAGATGATTGTGGAAGCAGAGAGAGTAAGGTATCCACAAGAACGTCCATCACTTCAGGAGCATCATCAACCTCCACATCATCTTCTCCAGAGGACTCATGAATATTAGAAGCAGAAAAAGCTTTCTTACAACAAATGATGAGTTCAGATGCAGCTTCTGAGTACTCCCCTGGACGAAGAAGCACTTGCAGAAGCAGCTGGATAAGCAAGTATTTCGCTGCATTCAATCGATTAGCATCAATGCTACATTCATGGCTCCTTTCCTGTTTACCATCACCACTAAAAAGATGAAAAACAAGCATATATATTATAACATTTAGTTCACAAAATTCAAGTACAAAATTTGTTTAATGGTATAGATGCAGAAACATAAGAGATAGCATAAACACGATGTTCAGATGTAAGACTGAGTTGATATATCTTTTTCACATGAGACCACAAATAGCTTCAATATTCATAAATCCCAAAACCATGGAACATGCGTTCTGGTTCTGCAGCCAGTCTATGGCTAGAAAAGTAGTATCAAGGAAAAAACATTTTTTCATTCTTATTTTTTCCTATTAGTAATTCAAAAAATATAGGAAAGCACCATGAATGCATATGCATAACCTATCCACGTATCAAACCAAATTGTTTCCAAAAATGAGTAAGAAAGCATATTTTTTCATAGCTCTTCTAACTTCCTCACAGGCCATAGATCACAAGCATAAGATAGTAGTGCTATATCCTCCAAAAATATCCCCCTATCCAACCTCTTAATACTTTATAACAAAAATCTTAAATGAAAAGGTAAATTCAATGAGAAGTAGGGGATGTTGGAGGTGGTTTTAGAATTACTCTTTAGATAATAGAAGCAGAGAATAACAAGATAATCAGACATTCAACCTCAATGCGTATGGTGGTCAGATTTTAAGAACTTATATATACTAGTGTGCACCCAAGCCTCGATTTTGTCCATGATTAGGACAAAACGTCTGTGATTGCAGAAATGCTCTGCAACAACAACTCTGTCGCTGCCGACCAATGCTCCCAGTGTTAAATACTATTCGTTAGAATTTTGAATTACCTAGCTCTCATCATAGCTAAAAAACACAAAAGGGACCATAAAGTTCATGTGTAAGAGTCAATAACAGGTCACAAGCATAATTACCTCTCTGGATAATCTGGCCTCCATTGCTTGCAAATTTTTTACTGCTTTTTCATCCTCATCATCTAAAGACCGGAAGAGGGAAACTGAAGGAATGTTGCACAAGGTGCCAAAGAATTTCATGAAGTATGAACCAAGATCAGTTGGTTCAAGGCTATTAGCCAAAGGATGCAAGCCCTCCGCCTTCTGAGCATTTGCCAATAACAGCTGCAGCTGGTCAATACACATCTTGCAAAGAGCATTGGGTGTGGGAGATTTTGGCCACCTGAATTTCTCTTGTAACTCAAAGGAAGTGATCTCAGTGCCAAGAGATGCAGTAAACAGACCCTGAACAGCCAGAAATTTCATGATTTCTTTTTGCAGTCTAAACTTCTCTTCATGATCCAGCTTCAAGAATTTTAAAATACTGGGAAGGGTTTCTATAACCCAACTCTTCAAAAAATCAGCATTCCCATTGGTCCTAGGAGAATCTTTATCTTCAATAGAACCTATTTCTGAATTTTCATCTGTTGTTTGACTCTGATCTGAAGGTTCCTCCAAGGCATTGCCTTCATCCACAAACAGGTTCATTAAGTTCTGAATAAAAAGCATGCAACCAGGTTCAGTTTTGAACTGTGACATAAAATCTTTAACATGTTTTGTTCGTGTTACACAATCAAATTTTCCATTGCTGTGCTTCTGTATAGCTACTATAACAGCAACTCTTCGGACATCATCATCCCCCACCCAATCTGACAACCGTTTAAGAAAATGCTGTGCAACTTTATACAGCCATGTGCTTTTTGTCGATAGTATATCCATCAGGCACTGAACAACTTTGTTCGACAGAACAACTGCAACTAAAGATGCAGGCAACTTCTGGAGAAGAAGAAACAGAACATCAAAAGCTAAGTGCTTACGATCATGAGATGAGAAGAGAAGAGTTCCCTCAACAATTATTTCACAAAAAGACTGCAGATTCTTGGCAATCTCTTCATCTGAAGAGCTAGATTTTCGACTCTTTTTGTGTTTTTTTAATGAACTTGAAGCTGACACTGCATCTTCTGATTGCGAAATAGTGTTAGGTAAAAGAATATTTATCAAAACTGGCCAGACATTATGAACACGAGGCTGACAGAAAGTTGACTCCTGCCACACATTCAGAAAATACATAAGAACCATATATTTCTATTACTCCATCCAAAATAGTATTGGCCACACAGATGAATGAATGTACCTACCTTCAAGCAATTACTCAGGGAGGACAGGTGATCCTCAGAAAAAAGCTGGCTAGAGTTGAATGGATTAGGCAGTAGTTTGCCAAATATGGAACTGTCAGTAGAAATCTTTTCCCGAACTTTTAAAGCAAGGAGCAAAGCATCAGGATTTCCAACTTCTATAGCAGATTCAAACCACTCCTGGAGCCCAGGAGCTTCAAGAACATGATTCACCAGTGTCTCAGCAGGCAACTACAAAAAGTAATATCAGTAATAAATAATAAATAATAGCCTTCAAATAACAATAGTAAGGTTTGATGCACCAAACATATAGCCTGATGCAGTACAAAGTGAGTCTCAAAATTACCAGAGAACTAGTAAGTGTCATGGAAAACAGTAAGTCAAACAATATACTGTCTACCAATTAAGAAATGACCCACAAGAATGTAAAATATCTTTCAAAGAGTAGCAGATGATCCTGTGAGAAAAGTAATATATCCATATCAAAGACATTGCCAATGATGCAACTAGTAGTTTGCATGTGCCTATAAGGATCTATTTACAAGCATATATGCATACACGAATGGAGGGTAGAAATGTTCTTGAATATTCCAATAGCGCAAAAGAAGAGAATAATAGCTCAAGACCTAGCAGAATATCATACACAAAAGATAAGAATCTGACCTACAAAGTGCACTGGCAATCCAGCACAAGAGATCCACCAAAACATTCCATAACTCAAATCATTCCTTTCCCATTATCAAAACTAAAAGTACCAGGATACTAACAATTAATATAGATAATCTCCACTAAAAAAAATATTCACAATGAAAAAGGGGAAAAAATCCTTGTCAAGGAATGACTCGTTGAAACCAATGAAAATCCAAGCCAGTCAAAACAGAGTGATATGTAAGGGTAAACAATTCTCTTGTTTTAATAATAGACAAACCTTTTCAACCAGGTCTAGAATTATTGAGACAGCAGGCTCTCGTAAGTACCGCTTTTTGTTTGCAAGAGAGATAAGTAGACTGATAAATTCTCGTATGCAAGGAGTGTTTTTATCCAAACTCCATTCCTGTGCAAGTTTTCCTGATCTAGCCAGAGCACCATAAGCAAATAAGCGGCCCAACAGACAATCTTTTGCTTCCTGTAATTTTACAAGGAATATACAGATATAGTTAGTATTCACCAAGCGGAGAAACAAACCAAAAATAAAATAATTACGCCACTACCATTTCCCACCTGACCCTTCATTGATGAAGTCACTTCCAACAAATCAACCACAAGTTTAAGGAATGATTCAACCTTGATGTTATTAATAGCACCAACTAAAACCGTCAAACCTAAAGCAAAACCCTGTCGTGCACACTGCAAAAGCAATAAAACACATACCTCAGCCACAACAACTCAGTAAGCAAATTTACAGCATCAATGAGCAGAGTCTAATTAATCCAGCAAAAACCTATATATATATATATATATATGAATCAGAAAACTTTTCTAACATAACACATCAAAGATAATCAAATATCATAAATGAACTTATCAAATAGAACCAACATTACAATGTCAGAAACACAGAACAGAACGCAAACCTCTCTCGACGAAGAAACACCACGAATAAGCCTACGAACAGCGTATCTCACAGAGGGAGCACAGTTATCCAATCCATCGTCTTTCTCAGCTTCCAACTTGAATCCACCATCACCATTCTCCTTATCCTCAAGCGCGTCATAAGCATTCTGAACCTCCTTCAACTCCATCACCATTCGTTTGGCGGCGGCTTCCCTCGCCGACTCAGACGCCGCCGCCAAGTCCTTGAACACGCCAATGTGAAACGCCGGAAGAGAGCCACCACCGGTGCTCGGCGAATCGAGGGACTGAAGCACAGGTTTGGGCTCCGAAGCTGGAGGTTGGGATTGGGACTGAGACGTTGTGCGGCGTCTCTCTTTGTCCAAAGCTTTGCGTTTCTTCTTCCTCTCCATGGGCTTGATGGAAGGTTGTTGTTGGCCATCGGCGTTGGTCTTTGGTTTCTTGTTTTGGGGTTTTGGGGAATCGTTTGTGTTAACGGTTTCGTCCTCTGCAGCAGAGTTTCGTTTCTTGGTAGCCATGTGAGGTGGAGATGAATGCCGGTGCGGCGGAATACGGCGTCGTTGCGGGTTTAGGGTTAGGATGGGTTTTCAGTTCTTAAACCTCTCAGTCGCACGCACTCTTGTTTAGTCTCCTTTTGCCTTAACGCTTTCTCTCTGCCTTCTTCGACATTTTCTATTTTTCTATTTCCCGCAAAATATTAGCTTCCTGTTTTATTCTTCTCAAATATTACTATTCAATTTTTAATCATAATAATTCTAATTTATATGTTTTCTTTTTTTAATTTTAACCCCTTGTGCTTAAGTTATGTATCTTATTTTTCTTCTCATAATCGACAATAATAGAATAAAAGTGTACTATAACATTGATATGTTTAAATTGATAAAAAAAATATTAATATAAAATAAATAGAATGCAAGAAAATATTTGTATTTATATAGCTTTCTTTTTTATATATACATTTTATTCTAAAATTATTTTAATTATTTCACTAGCAAGTTTTTAAAATAATTTATAACTAATTTTAAATTTTGTAATATCAATATTTGTATTTTAATAAATAAAATAATATTCTGAACACTTGTGATTAGCCATTTTTTTCTCATAATATGATAAATTAAAAAAAATTCTCCAAATAGGATAATTAAAACACACATTCCCTTATTTAAAAAAATCAAATATTGTCTATTGCAGAGATTATATTTTCTTTCTAATATTGAGCTCATGCCCTATGTGACTCCAAAGGTTACGTTTTACTTCAATTATTATTTTTAATTGCTCAAAAGTATTCAATGAAATAAGTAATTATACTTTTAGATAAAACTTTGTTTTATAAAATATTAATATAATATTTTAAGTTTAAAATTATTTACATTTATTTATCTATTAAGTGGTCAGAACAATTATAGTGCGGTGGGAGGAGTGGGAGTGGACAACACTGCAGTAACATATTTCAAAATGATGGATTAGATGACGGAATGTGAAATGTTTGTCACTTCAAATTAGGAGATGATACTTGTGATATGTTTCAAGCAAAGCAAGTATTGTCTTTACACGGTGAGATACTAATAGTGACGTGATAAATTTCATTTCAAATAAATAAATCTTTTTAATTAATAGAACAAAATTAATTTGTCATATTTTGAAATAAAAAAAAGGTGGTGTGATTAACTTTGAAATTTTATTTTAGCATTTTGACTCTACTAAAATTTATAGTAGATATTTAAAACTAAATGTCAAAGCTCAAATTTATACAAGAGGAAAAAAATTAAAAGTTATTTACATTCAAATAATACAAATATTAGCAATATATTTGTTTTATATTAAAAATGATAAATACTCATGTGAATATTATTTATAATTTTATGAGTTTTATTTGTACTTGTGTAATTTTAATAATTTTTATTAATTACTAAAAATATTTAAAAAATATGTTAAAATAATAATTTTATCACTTATCTTAAAATAAATAAAATTGTAACACGTTAATATCTTATAAAAAAAGTGTAGTTCTTATAATGAAAGGAAAAAAAAACTAACTTGAGTTTTGTTTTTTTAATTACCTAATTATACAAGTTTTAAGTAAAATCATTTTATTGTTGATTGGCCAAATGAAAATCAAGTAATATTATTGTTTCGTTTATCAAAGTTTTACATCAATTAAGAATTTAATGTTAAAGGTAATTTATAAACACTAATTTCTCGTATTAAGTTCACAAAAATTAAAGTACATAATATTTTGGACAGACACTATGAATCTATTTGGTGGACATAATAAGATGATAGAATACAATAACGTATGATACCTTCTAATGTTTTTTTAGTAACAATATATTATAGCTTATAATATTATTCTATCATCTTAGTTTAAATTCATATCTTGAAAGGATTAGGGGTTAAGAAGTATTATGGTAGGATAACTTTTTTTTTTTCAGTTGCATTTTTATTTATACATACCCATTTTGTTATTAAATTTTTTTAATATTTTTATTAAAACAGTATATGAATATTTTTAATAAAATATATTTAAAAAAAATATATTTAAAAATATATAATTTTTTTCAAAGGAAGACTTATTTTTAAAAAATTGTAAAAAAATTCCTAATCATTTAATAAAAATATTTTTACTTTTTTATAATTTTTATCTAACAATAAATTTTAATTATAAAAAAATTGAATAAATTTGTTATAATTTAATATAAAAATTAAATATTATAAGTACATAAAAATATTACTTTCTAATATATATATATATATATATATATATATTATATACTAATTTTGATAAGAGTAATATTGTTATTTAAATATAAGTTATATTTTATTCTATTGATTTTTTATTCATCTCAAACATTAAAAAAAAAAAATACTATAATGTTATTTGTTTTCTTATCCTAATACACATAAAACACATTATGATAAAAGCTTACCATTAGAGTTGAAAAAGTGATAAATCCATTTAGACTGACCTAAATTTGTCTTACAAAATGCAAGATTTGAACTTCAAATTTTAAACTCGAAATAAATCCGTATATTTTTACCCAATTCAATCAAGCTCGATGGGGATTAAACTCGGAAAAATCAAATTTGTCTTATAAAGTAATATTTTTACAATATTAAATTACATGAGCCTAAGTAAGTTGGATATCTAGATTTGTTAGCTTTGCTTATAATTCTATTATCATATCTTATATCCTCTTATTTCTTATTTTATCACGTTGACATTAAAACATGTCCAGTAAGAAAACAATGTCTTAGACTTTATCCGAAAGCAGCCGCAAAGTCCTCAAGCCTATAACCATTTTGTCTCATGTTTCATCTTTCAAGGTTTCACATTAAATAATAGTTAGGCTAAAAGTAATTTATAAATATTTAAAATTCTAAAGCTGATGGTATCTCCAATGCAGTAAAGGTTAATAATACACACAATTTGAGCCTACGTAAATTATGAATTATGCAAGATACCTTTTATGTTTGTTGTTGACAGTTTAGGTGATATGAAGTCACGACACCTTTGAATTTCCAACAGGACATGTCATCTTCTACCCTTTCTCCCAACCCCCTTTTGACCCAAAAAAAACAAGTTAACTTTATTAATCTTATATATTTTAATGCATGTTTGAATGAAATTTTTTAAGAAAATAATTGTTTATATTTTAAAATTTTGTTTACAAATTTGTTAAAAATAAGAAATTAATTTATTAAAATAAGTTGAACCAAACACACCTAAACTACCAGAGTTAAAATAAAAATTAAAGTATATTTGAATTAAACAATATATATATATATATGTATTTCTGTGGAAAAATAACTATATTAAAAGATTCAAATTTATTTGTATAAAAACGTTAAAATTAATTATTACATAAAATAAACATATATTTGTTTAAATGAAACATAGATAATTAAAAAAGCAAAATAAAAAGTTAATGCATATTTGTGAATTCTCTAATCACTTCTTTTAAAAATGATATTTCTGCTCTAGCAAAAGTAGACAATTATTTTTTAAAAACAATCAAAGTAAGCACACACTTAAGGGTATGTTTGATTTCTCTTTTAAAAATAGTTTTTTTTTCTTCTAAATGTAGTATAAATTTATACTACATTTAGAAAAAAAAAATAGAAAACTATTTTTAAAAGAAAAATCAAACATACTTTAGTTTTCAGAATTTGCAACAATAATGGCAGGAAGAGCGTTATGGAAGGAGAGATAAAGGGGACACCACAGTTTAAATTAAAGCAGAAAGAGTCCATAGCCAAGAAGAAGAAAAGGAATTTGTATGGACTGCTTCCACATCTAATCCAGCTAATTTTGATCCACTGAAGCTTGTCAATTGTTTAAATATAAATACAAATTCTCCTTGAAGAGTTAAAAAAGTGTATCATATGTTAGCTATCAATTGTCGTCAGCCAAACAGAAGACATTGACAAAGCTAAACCGCATACGTTAACAGAGACCACCTCACTCGACGACACAGTGTGGCTAAAGTCCGTGGAGCATAAAATATGAAAATAGAGCTTCCACCGTAATAGAAAGCTCAAAAAGGTTGGCACTCAAGTAGGGGTGACGTGCAAGTAATATGCGGATGCATCCTTCATAACGATGGGGGTATGTGAAGGTGCACACGATAAACTTTATTAAAATTTTAAAAAGAAATTAAATAAACTATTTTAGAAGTATTCCAACAAGTTATATTTTCAAGATAATAAATCCTTTTTAAAATAAAAACTTTGCTTATCTTTAACTAATAAGCAATGGAATTAATATTTTGCAAACACCAATAATTTATTAATCAAACGCTTAAATTATTTATCAAATCATGTCCTATGTCTATTATCTATATTAGAACTTGTTCAACTTTCAGAAAAATATCGATACATTTTAATTGTCAAACATTACAGGAAAAACAAAATAATTATTCCGCCACACAATTAACGTCAGTTCAAAAAAATTACGTTGCTCTTATATCTTCTGATGTTTAATCCCTCAGATTTTCAAGTTATATTCAGCATCTAAAAATACGCAACTCTTCTATCAATTTATGCGAAAATACGACAAATCCTAATGAATCAACCCGTCATTAGGCAAAATTTCCAATATCGTTATTCAAACGGCGTAGTTCAGCATTACAAATTTAAAAGGCCTTACGTAAAAAATGAACTCCAACGTTCGATACAAAAAAAGTGACCTCGTATCCTCTACTAAAGGAAAAAAAAGATGATTCATCTCTAACATGTTATCTAGACATATATAAATCGAAAGAACTGGCTACAGATCACTCCTCATCTCACTTCTTCACCTCTTCATATTCTGCCTCGGGAGCTTGATCCCCACCCTGAGAACCACCAGCTGAGGAACCGCCACTAGATCCACCTGACATGTGTTCCCCAATCTTGGATACAGCTTTGTTTGCAGCATCAAGCTTTGACTTAATTTCATCAACATTGTCACCTGACATCGCCTTTCTCAAATCCGAAACAGCATCCTCAATTTCTTTGGCAACTTCACTGGGAATCTTGTCTTTGTATTCACCTAAACTCTTCTCAATGCTGTATATGGTAGTATCAGCACTGTTTCTAATGTCGATGAGAGCCTTTCTCTCTTGGTCTTTCTGAGCATGCAACTCTGCTTCTTTGACCATCTTTTCAATCTCATCT